AATTACTATATTCAGCTTAGGAAGAATAAGACTACGAATATATTTAAGTCACAACATTGACAATTCCTTTCTGTTTTTTCTTAATTTGTTCTTTTCCCAGTTGTCGTGGTTTAACCTCAGCTGGCAACTGAGCACCACACAGTCACTCGCTCACTCCCCCGCCCCCCGCGGGATAAGGGAAGAGAACTGGCAGGGTAAAAAATTACTATATTCAGCTTAGGAAGAATAAGACTACGAATATATTTAAGTCACAACATTGACAATTCCTTTCTGTTTTTTCTTAATTTGTTCTTTTCCCAGTTGTCGTGGTTTAACCTCAGCTGGCAACTGAGCACCACACAGTCACTCGCTCACTCCCCCGCCCCCCGCGGGATAAGGGAAGAGAACTGGCAGGGTAAAAGTGAGAAAACTCGTGGGTTGAGATAAGAACAGTTCAATAATTGAAATGAAATGAAGTAATAGTAATAATAACAATAAATTGTAATGAAAAGGAGAATAACAGAGAAATACAACTCATGAAAGACAAGCGATGCAAATGAAAACCATTGCTCACCACCAACCGACTGAGGCCCAGCCAGTCCCCAAGCAGCGGCCTGCCCGCCAACCTTCGCCCTAGTTTTATTGCTGACCATGACGTGATATGGTACGGGATATCCCTTTGGGATATCAGTTGGGGTCAGCTGTCCCAGCTGTGTCCCCTCCTAGCTTCTTGTGCACCCCCAGCCTGCTCGCTGGTGGGGGGGGGTGAGGAGCAGAAAAGGCTTTGACTCTGTGTAAGCACTGCTCAGCAGTAACGAAAACATCCCTGTGTTATCAACACTGTTTTCAGCACAAATCCAAAACATTGCCCCATTCTAGCTACTAAGAAGAAAATTAACTCTACTCCAGCCAAAACCAGCACACCAGGTTTTGTGAATAATTAAATGGCTGGTCTTACTAACTTCCAAGCGTTTTTATATCCTGTAACAGCTGTAAGGTAACATGACAAGTTGCTATTTGTCATTCATGAAAGATTCAGCCACAGAGGTTGCCGTCCAGTAGTTTTACTGCTGCTTCTCTGGCAGCAAAGTTGTTCTTTAACTAAGTGTTAAGTCACAAAATTAAGTGAGATGCTCCATTAGTTCCTAAGGCAAGAATATTTTCTAATGCAGTTACATGCAGAACAATAATTTAAAATTGAAGATGGGTGGTACTCCAACACTAAGTTAAAACATGCTATCAGATCTATTACATGTTCTACAATTTAATTTGCCTTTTAAAGATTCAACTGGAAGCTGCTAAAGAGTGGACTTACACAAACTGTGACCATCCTGTCCTAGAGAACAGATTGTTAAAATTTAGTCCAGCTTCTCAAAGCCAACAAATTATGTCTATGAACTGCCAATAACGTGGGATATATCTACCCATACATTTTTCTAACAAAATATACATGGGTAAAAGTCAAGCCAACAGCTCCTGGAGAAGTTTTACAACACATTCAACAACTGTCCCTTCCTAGTAGTATCGCATTTGCCAACCCCCACCCTAGGGAGGCCTAACAGAGTTCTGGATCATTTTCCTGAAAAATGTAGTGGAAATTACAAAGTAAAAATCCACAACTGTACATGAACACTGTTGCATTTATTTATTTAAATTAACTTATTTATTGGCTACAACAGCCCAGAGGTCAACAAACGTTTATTGTATCCAGAAGTCACTATGGAGTTCTTGATCTGCCTGCAGTATTATACACATTGTTTAAAAAATAATAACAATACCTTCTAAAACTACTCAGAATACTAATGTATTATCCTGTAAGAGCCTTTTAAAAGTGAAAATGTAATTTATAAAGCCCAGCCAGTTGTAAAAATGGCTCAATCTATTTTAGAATTATTTTGCAAAAACATATAAGCACAAGCTTTACCCAAGAGTAAATACAAAAATTGATTAAAAAATGCTGAGGTGGGATTTTATAATAAAACCAATTGCTTCTAATCTGAATGTCCTTCTCACAAAAGGAAAACAATTTCTTTTTCTTTACAAACTTTAAAAAGATTTTAGATGGTCAAGGTCTTCCTTAAAGATGCTATACCAAAATTAAGTCTTTGATGAACATACACCATAGCACGCAACAGATTGTACAGTAAACTGCAGGAATCGATCATTACCTGACGTTTTGTCTCCAATGTAACCAGCAATAGTTATTCCTAATCCCTGGTTGTTTTTAGTGAGTTCAACATTAAATTTCTCCCCATCTTCACAGCTATCAACAGAAGCATCTGCCTAATAAGAAAAGTGTGATTAGAAAGGAAGCTTTTTTTTCTTTAAAGATCCACCACATTCTTTGATGTCATTAACATGTAAAATTAGACACAAATGTAAAAAAGAAAGTACCAACTTTGCTTCTGCTCTTATTTGATATTCAGCAGAGTAACTAGACATAGGTAACATTTCTCACCATAAAGTAATGCATGTCATCGCCTCCCTGCCCCACTGCCCCTGGGATATTACCTACAAAATCGTTATTTGATGACTAAAATGACTAGTGAAATTTGTACAAATTGAACAATGAACCTCTTGGTACTGTAAGTTACACAAAGCATGTTTAAATGTTAGGATATGTAGCTGGCTGCCCTTCTGGGACCTTGTCAGAACCAGCTTTAGACTGCTGTGTTATTTAAAAGGAGAAAAAAGATCAAAATTATATTTTGTATTGTGTTTGGTTTTGTATTCTGTTCAATAACTATAGCTATTTTTTTCCTATGCATGCCAAGTTTAAAACATAATAAAAGCTATTTTTACTGAGGCAATTATGTTTCTTGTTTTTGAAAGACTTAAAAATTCTGTTTCAGAAAGTAGCAATTATACTTCCAGATAGTTAAATACTGACAATCTCCACTAACACCTACTACAGCCCTCTGAATTTCAAAAACAAAGAATTTTTGGGGTAATGAATTCATTTATTTATTGTTAATGAAAGTACAATACATATTAAAATCCCATTTCAACAATATTGCTTTCGTATTGAAAGGAAAAAAACTTATAAAACAATTTCAACTTTTAAAAAAATTTTGTTTTTAATTCTTCATCTTTCAGCTGTCTAAACCAGACACGTACTAGCCACTTTCATAGCGATATATATCAGTATATGATTACATATACAAGGCTTCAATTTCATTGTATTTATATGGACATCAGTATCTATGCATATACTTAAAGTGGGAATTCACAAATACAGTACAAATCTATCAAGATCCTGCCATACTCCTATTTTATTCTTTCTCTTCTGCATGACAAATAGCAGTTGGTATTTTTTACAGTGCCAATACGGCAACCAGGCAGATACTAACTAAACCCAGTTTGACTAGATGAGTATGCATGTGCCAAAAAAAAAAAAAAGACTTCAGGAGAGCTATGATGCTACTTGCCAAAAAAGAATCTGACTTCAATTCTTTATCTGAACAACTCCACCAAAAACCACAATCAAAACACAAGAAAAATTAATTTCTACTGCTTTAACTACCTCTCTGCTTGATAACACAGGATTATTTTGGCCACAGGTAATGCCACTAAAAAACTCCTCCAATTTCCATAACCTCATGAATTTTTACGGGATAGACATCTACAGGGGACATGATGAAAAGTGCCCATTTTGGAAAGCCATTCTGCTCTCACTAATAGCTTTAAGAACATCATGAAGTCTTCACCCACCCTGTATTTGCCAGGAAGAAATAGACAAACCAAGCAGTTTCCATCATCATCTTCACTCCAGACCCAAATTAATGAGGCTTGCAGCACTATTGACTGGGTGCTCCCTCCAAGAACAACATCTCGTACAGGCAGAAGCAGTTTAAAAATAACCTGCTCCATGCCAGGAGAGATGTACCAGGAACAATGTATTGAAAAGGATGGGAATGGAGAGGAAGGTGGTAAAAAAAGTCAAATTTTGCCACTTCATGGCTTTGAGCTATTTCCTCGGTACTAGAAATCTTACACATCCTGCAGCTGCAGATACAGCCTTCAACATTGCATCATATAACCTCAGAAAGGCAAACACTGAAGAAATATGCACAGATGAAATTATCAAATTCAGCTTCTCTTTTGAGACTGCTGCTTCTCAGATAGATAATATTCGGGCTAAATATTGATCTCTTTATCTAAAACATAGCCAAGTTTTCATGCCTCTGAGTGCTGTAGAGACACAAAAGTACCAGTCTGTCTCTCCTCTTAGATGCTCAGAAGACTCCATGTTAAGATCAACTTTCTTTGCTGTATAGCCACAAAAGAGGGGATAAATTTATGTTTGTTTTCCATGGATACCACTACAATGGACAGAGGCAAAATAACAGTAATTATGCAAAAATTGTTAAGCCTTTTTTTCTTCCAAAGTGACCTATCTGAAATGTAATTTGTAACTGGGAAGAAAATGTCTAGAAAAACAACAGGAAAAAGTAAAACAAAAAATTCTTTGTAAGGCATAAATTCTCTGTAGTTGTAGGCTCAAAAACAACCACCTTTTTCTTCTCTCATTCACTTACTCCACATATTCACATTAAAATGTATCTGGTCATAACTGTATGTGACAAAACACTATTGTTCCTGGCTCCCATGAAATCAGGCTTTGCTAGAAACATGCAAATGACCTATTTTGTAAAGGTTTTGAGCTGACAGTACATGATAATGTTTACAGCATTTTTTAAGTGGCTGACGATTGTAGAGGAGTAACAGCAGAGAGTACAGCAGGGGAATACGAGTAGCAGCTGGCTGACTTTTTCTGGAAAATGTCTAGCAAATGAGCAATGCCAGGTGATGTAGGAAAGAAGCAGCATCTGTGTGCTGGTTGGCACAGGGAGGAACTGTCTGATGGATGGCTGCAACGATACGGAAATAAGAAATGTTCCTGGAGAGGAAAAGGACAGGCGGACAAAAAAATGCTACAGAGACAGCTTGCTCTGTCTGAAGAAAAGAATGCATGACTTCAGTTGTTCCCAACGTATTACTGCACAATCACAAGCAACCCAGAACCAGAAGTTATTCAGATCATACTTATGGAAGTCCTAAGCCTTGATCCCAAAAGGCTTCAAGCATATAGTTCCTTGCATTGTGGATTCATGACATTCAAATTCCCCCAGACTGTCATCTGAGAACACCGCTGCTGGAAAAGAAAATCCTAGCTTTTGAGAACATAAGCGTGAAAGACATTCAAAGAGCAGTTAAAAGAAAGAGAAGTCTGACGTAAAAGTATGTCACGGGTTAAAGTATATGCACTGTTGCTTACCTGTTTCTCTGGTGTGGAGATGGGTACTGGTGTACCTGGAGGGACTGCTGGTGGAGGTGGCTCCTCAATAGGACCTCTTGCAATTACCAGTTTCACTCGATTTCCACACTGCCTCAGAACTTGTGCCACCTGCTCGCTGCTCATTCCAGCCAGGTCCGTATCACCGATTTTCAAGATGTGGTCTCCACTACACAATCTCCCATGCTGGAGGAAGAATAATGATGAAAAAAAAACTATTAACATCCTGCCATTTCTCCCACATACCATACCATTAGAAAAAGACCACATAGCTGTAGTCACTTTTAAGACTTATGAACCAGGTGACTTTTTTTGGGTGCCAAGTCAAAATCCTCATAACATGGAGAATAAAAGTAGGTTGCCTAACGGCACGCTAATTTTACTAGACATTTCCCCAGAAATACCCAGGACATCCTTCTTCAGCAGTCAGTCACCCGAGCTCAGAAAAAAAATGCATATAGTTATGGTTACTACCTACTGGTATTTAACAAATGCATGTAGATTAGAGAACTTCAGGTTTCATTTCCAAACACACTTCCAAAAGACAGCATACGAACGTATATTCAGCTTTACACTTCTATTTAAAAACTGGTCCTCAGGAGTAACAGTAACTTCAAAATAAAATATAGTTCTCCCTTACAATATTTATATTGTTTTACACTGGTTTACTCTCCTAATGATTTACCTTTAACCAATAAAAAAGCTTCACATGAATTTAGCCCATACGAAAAGTATTAAAGAGACAGGTTTGTAAAAGGAACCCATCTACCTGCTCAGGGCAAGAGTGTGGCAGTAAATCCTGTCCATGCATCTCCAGGCCCTGTTATCAGGCCACCACTTCTGTGGTTGGAAGGCTGACCAGTCTCTAGGCCTATTCAATCCTGGACAACCAATAACGCATTCCTAGATACTTGTCCAATGGACAAGCTTGAAATGGGCTGTGATCACCAAATTCAATTTTCATGAGCCCTTCAGGCAGAAGCAGAGCCTATGTCCTGAAGCAGATGCATGAAGCCACATGCCTGCTCCAAGCTTCACTAAGCTCAGCAGAGAGAAGCAGATGCTCTTCTTAGCTGTCTGGGCAGAGCAAGTAAGTGTTTGGTGTCTCCCCCACCCCTGGGTTACAACCATATATTCATCAGAGAATTAGGAGTCTAAATGCATCCGCACCAAACATGTATAATGTAACAAGTTTGAAAATGTGATTTAGAGCTTAATCCAGCTTTTAGATTCAAATGCACAGATCCCCTGCACTAAACACACCTTTACTGAGGATAAATTTCACCACTTGCTCTCTCTTTTTTACACTTATAAGGAAAAAAGCTACCACTGCTTAGCACGATTATAAAAGTAAAGAGTAACTTCACACCTTATCGAACGGCAAACAGAAGCGTAGGTTGAATTTACCTGATCAGCAACCCCTCCTGGGAGGATGGTTTTAACAATCACGCCAGTTGACTTTCCTCCCACTATCCCAAATCCCAGACCAGAGCCATCGTTCACCAACTCAATAGTCTCCACATGCTGCCAGTGAACCTAAAAGGAATAAATATAAACTTGCAAATGATTAAAATAAGGACATACGCACTAAAACTTGCAAAACATCTTCTCTTAATTGTTGGGTATGTTTTTGAACAAAGGAAGGTGGGAGGAAGGTGGAAATACGGGACCTTTCTAACAATTACTATTAGGTATAAGATTTATAATATATTATAATATTATAAACCTAATATTTAAGCAATAAATTGCTCATTCCATAACAGTTGGAATTTCTCTGGTACAAACCACAGCTGGATAGTGGGTCAGGCCTTTCTTGCTGAATGAATTTAAGCAGCAACCTAGGACTGTCCACCTCCATGCCCCATTGCAGTCAGTAAGAAAAATACTGCTGCTAGGAAATCTCACAGGACTGAAAATTAAAATCTTCAGGTAAGTGCACGTTCACATCAGCCATTATAACAAAGCGCAGGAGAAAGCATAAACCCAATTTAGAGGTTAAGGCTGAAAGCAACACCAGGTACTGCAAGGTAGGCATTAGCAGAATTGCCCCCTGTGTAATGAACAAAGATTTCTGGGTTGTCTGATGTCAACAGCACTGGAATGAAGTAGCTCTGATGACAGGCTTCATGTTCTGACAGGAGCGAAACTGCTCTGAAAGAAAGACAAACGCTAGCTCGCTTGCATAGGGCAGTATTGAAGGGACAACTGGAAGCTCCTGGTGTTGTTTCTCCTGAAGAACAAACCACACCTTAAACTCATCTGAAATTTAAAACCGCAGCTGGGGCTCCACGAGGTAGGATCTTGAAAATAAGCAGTTATTTTGGAATAATCAAGGTACTGCAAATTCAAGCCCTATAGTACCCGTTTGGGAATCCGCAGTCTTAACATAAACCAACAATGATCAAGCAAAGCCTGAAGGAAAAAGAATGGCTCCAGATAAGCTGCTTTCCCTCCAGCATTTGAAAGTGAAGGGAAGACAAGGACTGGGAAAGGCATGCATAAAAAAACAGAAGGAGCTGTGGCAGGTTTCAAAGGAACGTTTTTTCAAGGAAGGGAAGCTGTTTGGAGAATACAGAGGGAATCACATAGAGAAAGAAGCGTGTCACAGGAATACTGGAAGAGAGCAGGCCTCTCCTATGTGCTGACAGGAAAAGTTAGACCAATCAGCTTTATTCCTGCACACAGAAGAAAAGAATAATTCTGAAATTTCTTCAGTAAAGATTTTATGCTGATGATTAAAATAGACACTAAAATAGCTGCTTTTTCCAGACTGATTGCTCCGTATACTTCTGATTATCGACTCCCTTAAAGAAGAGCCACAGATGACAGAACAGCAAAACCTAACAGAAACCAAAGATAGGCCGTTTCATCCCAGGGCAAGCCATTACATGAGTAAGATACCAGGAAGAGAAAATGCAGTCAATATCACTGTGTTTCTGAGCTATGTTCTCTACACCTAGATGTGCAAAAGCTTTCAAAAGAAACGAAATGTCTTCTGGGGGTCCTGAAGTGTGTCCCTACACATGGCATTTTGATGGCCCTTTCTTGTTGCTTTACTTGAGCCCCACCGCCAATAGACGACAGAGAAACAAACAGAGAAGCACCCATCCGGCTGGTGGTGGAGGTCAGATTGCAATGCCTCAAAAATTTCTGTTTGCCCAAGCAGAAGACAAAAAGAAAAAAGATCCTGTTTACCTCAAAATAAAGCTCAAAATGAAGCTTCATGAAGTAAGGTAAACATGCTGTATTTGCACTGGTAGATACAGAGAATTTGGCAGATGGGAAGAAGGAATACATCCAAGATCAAGATCCTCCCCCCCGCCCCCAAGCCTGAGTATTTTCTACTCTTTGCATGGGAAAAGGTACAACAAAGATAAGTAGAAGAAAAATCTCAAGAACTGTGAAGGAAATATACATACAAGTTACAAAAAAGTCTCAAAATACTCGATGCAGTAAGCGCATACATGCCCAAAACGGAACACAGACATTTGGAGTATACTCACCGGGTTGGAATGGGCTGAAACTGTGCTAGCAGCAGATGGAGACCGGGAAACTACAGGACTGATGAGCTGAGGGAAAGTGCCCCTGGCCACAACTAGCTGGACATTATCTTTTGCTTTCTGTAGGATGCTGATAGCCTGTTGATGTGTAATTGTCTGATCAAGGGCTTGTCCGTTAATAGCAAGGATTTGATCTGCTTCCTTCAGCTTTCCATCTCTGTCATGTATACGTAAACAGGGAAGGGGGACGACAAAATAAACAAACAAGAAAAACCAAATAAGTGTTGCCACAGAAATTACAATATTTTGACAATTTTCCAGTATTTTTAATAACCTGTTCTCTATTCCCCCCACTTTTTAATCTCTCCCTGCAGTTTTCCTGAAAGGAGCTGATGCAGCACCCTGGTGATTGTTTCCTTTGAAGCTAATCCCACTGCCACTCTCCCCTGGCTACTACCCCCTAGCTAGCTTTCTTCCCCTGTACTCCCATGCGAGACTAAGCATATTAGATCTCAGTCACTGCCAACCATAGCCTGGGAACTTAGGTTTATTCTTGACTTTGAGCCTCTTGCTTAACAGACCAAGTGCTCTACTTTGTTCAGTGTGCCCATTCTGAATATTCACCAAACCGTGGAGTGGAACACATCAAGATGTTACGGAAACAAATTTTGTTTTGCACAAAACCAAGAGAAAAGAAAAAAAAAAAGAAAAAAAGAAGGGGAGACAGAGAAACAGAAAGAAAATGAAAAAACAGATCCCTTTTAAATGAGGGGAAAAAAAGCCCTGAACAAATTAAAAAACAACTCTTCACTTTCTGACAAAGGAAGCACTACTGTAAAATTACATACTGAGCCCTTCCCCAGACCTACTTCAAATGAAGTGTATGAAGCCTACACAGATAAGTTACCCTCTGCCTCCTCCATCACTTCTATTGCTTTTGCAACAAACCAGCAAAAAATGGAGTCTTGTCTTCAACATCCCGAAGTGGCAACACTTTGAAAACAAAGGGCAGCAACAAAAACAAGGGTCCCTATTACACCAGCTTTTCTGAGCACCTGCAGTGTAGAAGCCAAGGTACTCAACAGCATTCAGGAAGAACACTACTTAGCTTCAACCATAACATTTTGCTTGTGAATTTGAACTGTTTTTCAGAGTGCTCTTGTAGACTTATTACTGCCAGGGCCTTTGCGATTTATGAGTCTGTAACAGTTGTTGAATGTTTCTCTTCTCACCAGTGAATCGGGCAGGGCCTGATTCAGTAAGGATGGGTCTTAACTTCATGGAATAAGAGATGTAAAAGAAAAGACCTCTTAAAGGGGAAGGAAAAAAAAAAAAGGGCAATTTAGACAGATTAAAAAATATTGTAATGACATAGAGCATGCCACTTTTCATAACTGAATTAATTCTGTAGGCCACGCTCTGCCCTCTGTTAAAAGGACAGTGTTCAGCTCACAAATAATCAGAAAATTTCTCCCTACAGCACAGTGAGAAATAGCACCGAGATGACTAAGCTGCCCCACACAACATACAGAGTACACCACGAAGCAGCTCTGGCCAGGATCCTGAGCAGCAAATCCAAAATACAACAAATCCAAAATACAACAAATCCAAAATACAACAAATCCAAAATACAACAAATCCAAAATACAACAAATACACCCCACCAGTCTGCAGTGAACTAGTGCTGCTGCCATTCCCCACTGAGTTTGTTTGCTCCCTCAGGCTGTTCTTACAGCAGAAATCCATTTCTCTCAACACTACTTGTGGAATCAGGATTAAAGTCTGAAGCATACTTTCAGCAAGCTATTATTATTGCTGAGTTTCTACTAGCATCAGCCGAATATCTCTTAAAGAGTCCAACAACTTTAGGTCAAGCCTTGTTTGACTTAAAAGTTGGGTTTCACACGTGCTCAGTGGGACCCTACCTAACAAACAATCCTGCTAGTAACAATCGATTTTTTTGCACCAAATTGTTTTTCAGTGCATTCAAGGATGGCAAAATCTGTATTTCAGCTGTAAAAGCCATGACAGAACAATAACCTCCCCGTTTTCCCTGTTGGAAGGGAGATATTACAAACAATCCATAGAGAAACTACATCTGTAGTTTCTAGAAATTCAGAACAGATCATACGCTGCCCTGTTCCAACGTTACATAAATTGTAGTGATAAGTAATTTTAAATCTGCTATGATGCATGACTTAGAATACGAGAGAAATGTGCCCTTGTACCACAAAAACAACAGCAATAACACAACTAAATTGCAGTGTCATGTTAACATTTGGTACAGTAAAATATTCCAGTAGTAATCTTACCTATGTGCCACACTTCCCTCCTGGATTTCTTGCACAAATATTCCTAGTTCTCCCCTGTTTTCACTCTTGAGTCCCACGACACTGAAGCCCAGACCACCGCTTAAAGGTTTAATAAGCTCAATGGTCTCAACAAGACGACCCTATTCAGTAGAAGAAAATAAAGGGTACAAATGTTAAAAATGTTGAAAAGCAGCATTAATGAATGTGGTAAACAACTTGGACGTGAGTTTCTAATTTGACAGCTACAGCACGACAAGGCTACACTACCTAGTAACTAAAACACAGTTGTTCAGTTCCAATGTCTATCATTCAGAAAAGTGACAATTATAAAAGATCTGAGAAATAAAGATTATTACAGCCCGGAAGAGGAAATCAGGAAACAACAGCTAAATATACAGAGTTTAGGCTTAGTAGTGGCTAAACTAGGATATATGTGTCTATAAAATCTCAGAGGGTACAGACCAACTCTCAAGCAGAACTAGAAAAAGAGGACGAATTTCAGAAAGAGGGAAAAAGTAGGACTGTGCAAAAGGCTCTCCAGGAGAACAGCAGAAGAATTCCCCTATCTGGCTCTATTACAGGTTAATTAGAAAAATGCTAGAATATATGCCTGGCCATTCTCAGCTCCAGCCACTGAAGGGACTTGTACACCGTTTCTGCCTACCACAGGAAAGCAGTAAGATTACAGAACAATGCGTAGCAAGGCCAGAAAGGAATTTTCCATCTTATTTCCAAGCAAGTTACAGAACTAGCTTTCATTAGTTATGCATACAAGAGCATGCTCGGAAAAGCATCTCCCTCACGCACAGAGCTGCAGTCCTACAATGAGCACAGAAAGATAATGGCATGTTGATCTGTGAGAGGCACACTGCCCAGCTAAGGACAATAACTCAGCAGTGACAATGTCAAGGCTACTTTTCCAACTGTTTTCTCATTTACCAATTGTTCCCCAAATTAAAAGGTTATTTTTGGTTTAGATAGCAAGTGAGCTCTGGTTTGCTTAGTAATTCAATTGCTTTTAAATAAACACACATGTATTTTAATTTTCCAGATAATCAGTGATCCACATTTTGTGGTTACCAGATGACATGCTTACCTGGGACATATTTCTGATCAGCTGCTCAAAGTCATCACTAGAGGACTTCCCATTAATTTGAGGAGTAATGGATCTCATCGATGCTTCTAGCACATTAGCTGGGCTGCCATTCTGCTGAGCCAACAAATATGACTCATTATGTGGCAAGGACCCCACATTCATACCATGATGGAGAAGCTGGGGGAATTCACCAGTGGAATGTATGGGAGGTGTAATATTTACCTGTAAAAGATTGATGGCAACACAGATTTATTGACACAGCAGAAACCTTCTCTTTATCCAAGAGCATCATGCTAGGCCCATCACTTGTTAAAAATATTTGAAATCCCAATTTGCAATTTTAAAAAGACACTTTGAAAAGAAAAATTATCTTTAATATTTATAATTGATGTAAAGTTGTGAACTAGCAGCATAAAACATAAAAGAAACTGATTAAAATAATCTAAAATTATTTTCCATACTTTGCCCAATATTCTTTTGTTCATATCAGCACAGCAGCTTGAAGTAATCCCAACACAATGGTAGAGGTAAACAAGTATGAATAAGCTTTTTCTACAGTACCAGTATTTTTAAAAAAAGATTTATGATTATTTTAAAAGAAAATTAAAAAAAAGTATGCATATTTTGATGGAAAAAAAAAAAGAAACCTCATCAGCTACATAGGGAACAAACTTCACCAGTCAGATGATTTCTGCATCACTATGTACTATGGCTGCCAATGCGACGCCCTACATAAGCCAGAATTAAATACAAGTCTAAAATTACCACGCTGATCTGAAAACCACAGTCATACCTTCACACAGACAGCCTTGACAATACACTTTCTCTTAGAGCAGAAAAGAAAGCAAGAAAATTCTCCGTTTTACCCAGCCATGTAAATTACGTATTTTCAAGGAGGTTTCTGCCAACCAATCTAATGAATGGCTGGTGGTGGTATAAAGTTCAGGTGAAGCAGAAGCCCTCATTTGGCTGTTGTCCCACTTGCCTGTTCACGGTCAACAGGCACTGTTTTACTCCACATCGCTCTCTTTCATACTTGCCTGGCACACTAACCGCAATTTAGGACCACAATATTTTACAGTGCAAATTTTCTAGTATTCTGCACCACAGTACAAAAGACTGGGATTCCCCCTCCTTGAAGCCTTATTTTGAAACTTCAAGTTATCAACAAAAAATTTCAAAACTGTAAATGTATTCTAAAATGTCTACTGCACTAGTCTCAACTGTTTAAGCATGCTACTTCCATTAGGTTTATCATATCATTCTCCCAACAGTCCGGTCATTAAAAGGTCAGTATTGTTCTTCATCACACAATTCCTTCTCACGCGGGTGCTTCAGGAGAATATAATACAACAAACATCATTTGTTGAACACCTTATGTGCCTGGGAATACCCTCAAGTTACAGAAAAAATACCCAAGACACCACTGGAAAAAAAGGTCCTCAACAGCACTTAGCCTGCTCTGCCATAAAAAACTGGAAAGAGGAAAACCAGGATGTTTGAAACTCAATGATTTCTATCACACAGTGATTATGTTCTGTTGTCCGTATTTGTAAGGAACCACTTGGGTTATGTTTCAAACAAGTCACAATGCCTAAAATGTGCACACATGCACTTTCTTTAATCACATACAGTCATTTCAGCAAGCCTATAAGGCACAGGTAGGTAATCTTTGTTTCACAGTTCATTACACGTAACAACACCCAGAGACATAATCAAATTCTGCCCTTCTGTGAACGCAAGATTTCCCCTTACATTATACGCATGGATTTGAAACTAATAAAGTCTATGCCATACTGTGTTTCCTATCTGCATGAGTCCATATAATAGGTTAATTCACTTCTACCTTCCACGTCATCCATTTCAATGTATGAAAGTATATCACTGAACTTAGTCAATTGATGTGCTTCATTTCTTGATCTCTTCCACCTTCAAACCTTCTTAGACATAGCACTGTCATGCTCCTTCCCACAAAAAATTGTCATAGGTCAAATTATTATTTTAAGAGTATCTAACACAACTGTAATTAGCCAGCCTTGCACAGCTTTAATTTAAAAACATTTTTACATTTCCACAGCAAGATAAAGCAGCCTAGGAGTATATGAGATGCAAACCCAAACTACTTCTCACGTGCACTCAAAGGCCATAGTATATGGGTCTGGTATCACAAATGTTAGCAAGTCATGGATATACGTTAATTTTCTAAATTGCAGTGCTCATTGTAGAAAATAGCACTAACTGCCCCTCCTGC